ATGAAGGTTGCCTCCACTAAGCCTGTTTGGGGGGTTGTTTTTTCAATAATGCTGGTTTTGGCTGATGCCCAAGGGCTGGAAAATGGGATGATTACATTGTATTACGTATCGGAGACCAACCAGCAACAACAGAGAAAGGGCAGCCAGGAGACCGTCTGTTTTCCAGCACAAGCTAATGGAAGAGAATTAGACTGCCAGATAGGGAGTTTGACTCATCTTGACATATATTTAAAGAACCGTAGCATTCGCGTTGCTGCCTTCCGATTGGGAGGTTGTGGCCTCCCATTGTATGTTGTACAGAATACAACGTATTCATCCGTTCCATTTGGAGGTGGGGCTGTCACAAAATACTTTAGCCACTTTTTAATCCATTTCTTACCAGCTTGCACTCATTCTAGCCAATCAGATCCTCTCCCCTACCTGGTGTGCTCTCTGACTGACCCTGTAATAACACCAAGCACTTAAACAGAACCTGGCAGCTGAAGATCTTAAAGCACCTTTTAATTTAAACATTAGTTTTTACAACCTCCCTCGCAGGCAGGTAAATATCATTACACCATTTTTCAGAGGGCTCCATCAACTTGAAATGGTCATTCTGAAGTCTAAATCCTGCAGCCAATTCCACAAAATGTTCCAAATTGTTGCAAGGCCCCACACCTGCCACTTCTCCCCTGCCACTTTTTGTGGGTTTACATCATGTTTTGTTCTCCCCTGTTGCCGTGTGAAGGACCCATACAAAGGACAGGGAAAACTGAGTAACAATGGCTGAATCCTTCCAACATTTCTGCATGTGAGTAACTTTACTCAGCCATATTACGTGTGTGCAGTCAGGGGAAACAGAGGCTGGCAATGCCCAGTCAGCAAACAGGGGAAGAAATAGAAGCAAGTCTTTATTTTTGTCTCCTCTCTTTCAATTACAGGCATCGTAGGCAGCGTTTGGAAAATTATATGGGTAAAAATAATTCAGACAGATGTGTAATTTGTAAGTTGACTTGCCAAAGGCTGCTCATGGAGTGAGTGGCAGAAACAGAAACAGACCCCAGGCGTGCTGGTTCTTAGTCACATGCTCTAGCCAGTAGATGAAAACCTATAAACCACATTTTTACATCATGCCCCCTGGGCAGGATTGCTACCCTTTCTGTCACTATATCACCTGAGAGGGCTGTTTCCTGGCCAGTCGATTACGTGGTGGCTGCTATGTTCAAGCTCAGTTAGTGATGGATAGATGTCAGGTTTCTTGTCCAACCCAGGCTCGCTGGCTGCATGTACCGAGGGCAAGCGGGAAGCCAGTCAGACCAAACCTGTCACTGACCCGATCTGTCCAGGCCGAGGTGTACAGCCGGGGAAGCTGTTCATGCCAGTGGCTAACAGGGATGCTTGACTGGTAAATTCACAAACATCTGCTCCCCCTTTGGAGCACCAGTGACCCAGCCATCCTGGCTTCACATTCCCTTTGCAGAGTGGCCCTTGGGAAGCCATGCCCGGGATGCTCACTGTATCTCCAAGGGGAATCTAAGGGAACGATGGGCTCCCTTTGCAGCCCACACACATAAGCAGCGCTGGGATTGCAGAGGTGTTTGCAAGCGCAGGCAAACAGTACTTGAGCCAGGAAAAGCCAGGCTCGGGTTTCTGACAGACCTGCTACAGCCCAAGCAGAGGCTGCTCACGCTCCCCCACCTGCCTGTCCAAATGCCTCACCTCAGACCTGTGGGGACCAGCAGAGTCCAGCCTCCGTGCCCCTTTCAGTCCTTGGCTTCTTGCCGAGGCTGAGAACAAGCATGCAAATGAGATGGTGGTGTGTGTGGCTGGGGCACCTGTCCCACCAAAACTGCCCAGAGACCACCAGTGTTTGGTCACAGTGCTGGGCTGCATAAACCCTGCAGCAGCCTGGAAGGGGTTAAGGAGTAGCCCACCCCCACCCCGCTGTTTCTGCAAGTCGTGCCGGGGATGGAGCCGCTGAGGGAAGAGAAGCCAGTGTCCTGGATGGAACTTTTTGTTTATTTTCTTGTGCTGCTCCGGAGTTGTTTGTTTGTCTCTCAGGACGCTGAAGGGGGGCGTATCCAGTGCACACCCACTGAAGCACCAGGGCCGGAGGTCGAAACCCAGCGTGCAGGCGGCGTAAGGATCAGATCCCTGGCAGTCACTGAAGAGCTAAGCAGGTGCAGACTCCTGTCTGAGGCAGGAACAGCCTCCTAGCCCTGTGACTGTGTCCAGTACTTGGAGCCCCCTGCTCACCCCAGGCCTTCCAAGTGTCACCCCAGGGGCTAGGTACATTCCTTTAATCTGCTTAGAGATCCTGGCAAATTAGCCCATGCACAGTGGACTCCAACGCTCCCAGGGCTGTATGTGCACAACAAAATAACGAGCCGCTCAGGCTGTTATGCCAGCCAGGTCTAGAAAAAAGGGCCAGCTCTTCCTTCCCTCCCCCCGCCCTTCTTCCAGGGATGCTCCTTCAAACCTGCTGGGTGGGAAACACGCCCACCTCCTCACCGTGCCTGCACTCCAACTCACTCCCGCTCAGGAACCCTCAGCCCAGAGGAGGCGTTCAGCAAATCTACACACACACAGCTCGCTTCTTTGCTCCAGTCACAAGTGAGGTTTTAATAAATCCGGTTAAAATGCTTTAATGAGCTTGTTTTAACACAGGCAAAATAACAAACTGGGGCCTTCTGTCTAGTGCAAATGATTCCTGGGCACACACGGGGCCTGCTCCTGCTCCCAGTGAAACCAGATCAGTGGGAGCCCTTCCATCCAGGTCAGCGGGAACTGGGTCGTGCCTCTGGTGCTGCTAGCCTTGCAGAGTGGATTTGCTTCCACAGCAGCGGTAGCATTGGCCAGTATGTGATTAAAAGGTTTCCCTATTGCCGCAGACGCACAAGCTGTTCTTCAGAGGGGAGAGGAGCTGATGGCCTGAAACGCACTGAAGCAAACACAGATTATGTAAAAGTAAACATGATTTTATCATTCCCTGCAGTTGGTGTTTGGATGGCGGGTAAATCAGGCTATTAACGAGCTCTCTTCAACCAGCATTCCTTAGTACAGACCTAATAAGAAACAGATTCTTATTGCTTTAACAGGGCAAAGCCCATCATTTTTCTCTCCTCTCTCAGGCTGTTGAGAAGGGGTGGGGAGCCGGAGATGGATATATTTTATGGGGAGTCCTTTGTTTATTTCGTGATTTGCCATTGACAGGACAGGAGCCCCCAGCAGAGGATGAGTGTCTAGGGTTATGTTTAAGAAAATTGGAATGAATCAATACAAAATTATTCTCCCTGATTTTTCACTTCATGCCCCACGAATCTCTTCCTGCAGTGGTGTCCTCCCTGGGAGAGAGAGATTTGAAGTGGAGCCTCCATGTCAGATTTCAAAGAGGCATTCTCAAAAGTATTTGGATGCCCTTGTAATTCAGAGCCGCCCCTCCCCCCCGAAAGCAGCTGTCAGGAGTGAAGGGCCCACAAACCCCTCCCCGGATTCCCTAAATTTTAAACAGTTTCACCCCAGATTTCTCTCTCTGGAAGTACGGTCCAAGCCCTGCAGTCCTCACTCAGGCAGCACTCCGAGGAAATTAAATGCAGGAGTTTTGCCTGACTAAGGGCTGCAGGATTGGGCCTTAAGGGATATGTAGCTCCAAATAATCTTATCCAATGATGTTCAAATACCTTTAAAAATCATTTAAATTAGTTGCATATTGGACAATCCATCTAGGGTGACCAGATAGCAAATGTGAACAATCAGGACGGGGGGGGGGGGGAAATAAGAGCCTATATAAGACAAAGCCCTGAATATCGGGACTGTCCCTATGAAATCAGGACATCTGGTCACCTTAAATCAATCAGCACACACCATCCCTTAGCGACGGAAACTCGTTCAACTACCACATCTGCAGTCGCTCTCCCTCTCTCCATCATTAAAAATCATCTCTTCCTGCACAAACAAGGCTCACCAGATCTCCTTCGTAGGACTGGCTCATTTCAAGGCCCTTTTAAAAACCTCTCACTAGTGTGGCTAAGGATTTTGCACTGTGTTTTAACCAGGTATTAATAGTCTCACAGCCTGGCTCCTGGCACATGGATTTCAGACTGTACCCAGCAGTTTATGGGCATGGACACTGCCAGCCTGCTCCTCTAATCACTGGCCTTTCTGCATTTGCCTCAGTTAGGGCACAGTCACCGTGGAAAATATTTATACATGGGAAATGTCTTACTAATTAACCTTTTAATTGATACCTTCACTCTGGGACAAATGACACCAGGAAGATCTCTCCTACCTTGGGAGCTGCTGCTTACAAACAGATTTACAGCTAAAAATAACCCAGCAGTCCTGGAGGGATCTGGCTAATTGACTTCGCTGCTTATCTCCTGGTAGCTTACGAAATCTGCAAGGGTTTGGGGGATCAGGGGAGGGATCGCAGCAGCCTGAAACCGGAGCCTAAACAAGGGACAGCTGTGTGGAATTTACAACAACAAAACATTCTGCAAGCTCAGGGGACGTTGCCCAGGTTAGCACTGCTGACCAGTTAGAGCTCCACTTTGGTTCCTCTGATCTGTTAGACCCCCGTGGGTTGGAGCATCCTGCTAATCTGTCCCTCCCATCCCCACCCTGCTGAGTTTAGGAGGGGACACAGAGCAAACATGGATAAAGTGCCTCCCACATACAACAGATTGATGCCAGCCAGAGTGACAAGTCTTCAAACAAGCTAGAAACATCTCTTAAACCTTCTGCATTAAAGCTATCAGGAGAAGCCATCTTTGCAGATATCAGACCTTATACACATTCCCATTATTAGCATGTTTTAAAATACTGGGCATGGGCAGGTAACGCGCACATCAGAGTGCGTTCTAGGACAGTGCATTGCCTTAGCTGACACCTCCTAACTGCCTTTCTACACGCCAACGTACTAAAGCTATACTGAAAACTGGTCTGATTTTGGAGTTTATTCTCCCCCCCTGCTCTTTACAAGAAAAGACACAAACGATGCCAAATTGCCATACCCGGTCCAGTTCTGTTAAATTATTGTCATCTTTATTATCTCCACTTGTGTGCAAACGGAAACGGTGGTGTCCTTAAAAATAACAAAATGTATTCGACATACATTTTTTCCATATGTACAAGTGAACATCCACACTTACATTTTTCTTTTGCATAGCAAAAGAAATAGAACATTGAGATAGGAGAACATGGGATCAGGTACAAAAAAAAAAAGGCTAAAAAAATTTCACAACAGTGCAAAAATATCTTACACAACAGCATGGAATGGAACAATTTTTTTAAAATATATAAAAAGGAAGAAAACTCCCTCTCAGATATTAAATTTTTCATTGTAAACAAAACGCAACATCTCTCCCTCAAGACAGCTGTTTGGAGAATTTGGCAGATCTTCAGGGGTCTCTGGTCAACAACCCAAAGCTCATGCACCAGACAGCCAAACTGTTCCTGTCCTACTTGAAAACGAACAAATATTTTTTAACAAGAGGTGGAAACTGCCAATGAAACGGAGACGCTGCTCCTGTGCCATGATCCCTGGCGAACTGGGACAGGGGCCAAGCGAGCCCGGCCCCTGCCCAGTGACAGACCCCCAGGGACTCTCATCTTGTGGGCGCACAGGGTTGTGTAAAGCATTGCACATATCTCCCCTGGACTTGTACAAAGGCTGCCCTTTGCCTCTCTGTTTTCCTGCCTCCCCGGGGCTGCGGACCCGGCCGCCCAGAGGCCCCCGCAGCGTCCCGTGCAGCCCGCCGTCCCCCAGGCAGGCAGGCAGGCAGTACCGGTGCACGGGGAAGGGCAGGGAGCCCGGCGCGTCCGCTGGCGGCTTCTCGGAGCGATCAAGGTTCAGCCAGAGCCCCGCTGGGGCGCAGGCGGTGTCCCCCGGCCGCGGGGCTCAGCCGGTCTCCGGCTCCTGGCCGCCCCCCTCCTCCTGGCCGTTGCAGGGCGCGGCGCCCCCGTCCTGGCCGCTGCTCTCGATGGAGGACTCGCTGCCGGTGCTCTCCCCGGACAGCAGCCGGGTGACGCGCAGGTCGGCCCGCAGCGCCTGCAGGTCGTTGCCGATGCTGAGCTCGCCCAGGTCGCTGATGAGCTGGGTCAGCTCCGGCCCGTCCAGGCGGCCGGGGCCCGCCCGCAGCAGCAGCGGGGCGCCGCCGGGCGCCTCCAGGATGTCCTCGCACTCGAAGTGCCGGGCGCGCTCCTCCTGCGCCTCGCCCAGCAGGTCCTCGGTGATGGAGCCCAGCTTGGGCGCGCTGCGGCTGCGCTCCACCGGCGGCTTGTAGCAGCCGCGCCCGGGCAGCAGCTTGCGCAGCGGCACCAGCGGGATGCTCTGCTCCCCGACCAGCTGCTGCTGCTGGTGCCGCGCGTCGTCGCGCTTCTTCAGGCGGCGGAACTCGGCCAGCGCCGCGGCCGAGGTCTGGTAGAGCAGCAGCGCCATGGCCCGCGCCTTCTCGGGCCGGGAGACCAGCACGGCGTGGCAGCGCAGCATCACCGCCTTGTGCTTCAGCTCGTGCCGGTAGATCCAGGCGAAGACGCGGGGCAGGCGCGGGTCGGCCACGCAGTAGGTGACGCGGTGCAGCAGGTAGAGGTGGCCCGGCCGGCGCGGGGCCCGCTCCTCGGCGTGCGCCATGCGGATGCCCTGCGCGCCGATGGTCAGCTTCATCTTAGCGCCCTGCCGGCCGGCCTCGCTCTTGGCCCAGATCTTGCCCACGGCCAGGTCGGTGCAGCCCTCGCCCTTGGCCTGCAGCGTGGCCGCGTTGCCCAGGTACAGCACCGTGTACGTGGGGTCCTCGCTGGTGACGCGGAACTTGCGCCGCTTGGAGCGGAACATGCTGCCCACGCGGTGCAGCGCGCCCTCGGGGCAGGCGCGGGCCAGCGAGCCGAGCGCGGAGCAGTGCAGCCTCACCGCGTAGCCCTTGGGCTTGCTGGGCTGCCGCGGCTCCTCCGCCAGCAGCTCGAACTTGTTCCGCCGCCACGGCAGCATCTCCCCGCCAGCCCGCCCGCGGGCCCCGCGCAGCGCACGGCCCGGGCCAGGCGCGCAGGGGCGGGCGGCCAGGGCGCTCCGCCGGGCAGAGCCGCGCTCAGTCACCGGCCGGCCGGGCGCGCATCCCCCGGGAAAGGCGCCGCCGCTCCGCGCCCCTGCCTCCCGCCTGGCATCCTGGCCGGGCGGGCCGGGGCCGCTGCGCCGCAGATATAGGCTGGCGCCAGGCAGGGGCGGCGCTGGCGAGGGGCGGAGAGGAGCAGGGGGGAGGAGAGCGGCGCCGCGTCTGCAGCCGCCCGCCCGCCCTCCCCGCGACTCCGGGCCCGGCCAGGGCAGCGACAGGCCGGGCTGAGCGGCGCTCTCCGGGGCGCGGATCTCCTGCGGGCGGCGGGGGCACGGGGCCGGGGGCAGGAGCGACCACAGCCGGCGGTTCCGCCGGAGCCAAGTCCCGGTTAACGGGGCCGCGCCGGGGCGCGTCCGCGCGGGGGGCGCCCCGATCCATTCACATCCCCGGGGAGCCGGCCCGCCCGGCGGGTGCTTAGCTCCGGCTTAGCCTCGGAGGGGGGTTTTACCTGCTGTCCCGTGCCATGGGCAGGGCCTTTGGCTGAGGGCTGGCACTCCTGGGGGGACTAAGGGAGGGGTGTGAATGGGATTGACACGTGCGGTCAGGCCACTTGGGGGTGAGACCTCCTCCAGTGGGGGCTGCTCGTGCCAGACCCAGTTCTGACAGTGGCTCGGTCATTTGCAGCTTGATTCAACACTAATCCCATTCCACAGCCCTGGCCTGCAGCTGTGTGTGGGAGGGGGGGGCGCTCCTGCACCCCGGCTGGGACCGCCAGCCCTGAGCCAGCAGCCGGCTTCAAGAACCTGCCATGCAGCTATGCAGTGAGCCGTCTGCCTACTGAGTTCTGGGAGGTGGGCAAGGCCCCTCCCTGCCCAGTCGAGGGGGTGGAACAACTTTGGGCCCAAATGATTTGGGGGGACAACTAATAAGAAAACAGGGACAGGCATGAGGTCATAGGGGTAAGTAGGGAACCAGAGGGGACACGGAGCAGAGAACCCTGGACAGCGCCCGCTGCTCCTCGAAGGTGTCTAGGGAGCCAGCGGACGCCACCCAGAGGAACTCTGCCCAGAGACGTGACCTAAGGGAGGATCAGAAATCGGCCCCACAGTCACAGAACACCTCCTCGTCTAGCTTCCTCCTCCTGGTTTTATAGATGGCCCCTTTGGGCAGCGCCGGGGGGGGGCTGATGAGGAGGTCTCATGACTTCGTGGGGCCCGGATGGGGTGTGCGTGGATCAGGAGGGTGGGGAAAGTGCAGCCAGGACCTACGAACGAGGTTCTGGAGGAGCCGGAAAAGGGGCTGCGACCTGGCGCACTCCAGGTAGATGTGTGCCAGGGTCTCCCTACACCACAGATGGGGAGGGAGGTGAGCTGCGCCGAGTACAGGCCCGTGCTCACAGCTCCATGAGGGAGCCACCAGCTAATAGCAGCCAGCCTGCCCTGTGAGCCTGTCCTGTGAGCCTGCCCCGTGAGCCTGCCCCGTGAGCCTGCCCTGTGAGCCTGCCCCCTCAGTTGCATTGATCGGTGGGGTTGGAAGAACTCCACTGAGCATGTTCAGGATGTCCGGCTGATGCGCCCTGTGAGAAGGGGAGCTGCCGGCTGCAGCAGAGGATGGCTGCCTGGGGGCCTGGATAAATCATAAATAAGGGATGGATGGAGAATGTTCCCGCACCGAGGGAGATCAGGCCCTTCTTTGGGCACTCCCAGAGGGAGGGGGTTTCTCCCCACCTAATGTGGCTGCTTTGGCAGAGTGAGCGTTGGCTTTATGCCTGCCCCCAAGGAACTCCAGTTCAAAACGTTTTCCTGGAAGAAGGTGCTGCCCTCCGAGTCTTATGCCCCAGGCTTCCCCCCCTTGCAGTCTACTCAGTTCACAGGCTGGGTGGCAGGAATGGCCCTTAAATGGGTCGTAAAAATGGCTACAGAGCTGAGCTGCTCCCAGCGCCAGGCTGGGAATTCAGGGCTGGGCTCAGTCTGTCTGGATGTGGGCACAGGGATGCACCTGTGCCACTGGCTGCTCCACAGGATGGCTGCTCTCCGCAGCAGGAAGGATGCCGTGCACTGCTGCCACCGACTGATGAAAAGGACTTCCCCACTCTTCCTTCTCCCCCTTGCCACCTTCCCCCAGGGGCTGGCTCTGCCCACAGGAATGGAAAGATCTGTTTGAGACAGCAGGCGACCTTAACACTGAGTCACTAACTACCTTCTGACCACAGGCAAAGCAGTGCAGCTGGGACTGAGTAAGCCATGTTTGAACAGTGTTTCAGAGTCCAGGGAAGGGAAGCTACCAGGCCACAGACCAACAGGCATCACTTGTAACTAGGGCTGTCAAGCGATTAAAAAAATTAATTGTGATTAATCACGCTGTTAAAAAATAATAGAATACCATTTATGTACATATTTTTGGATGTTTTCCACATTTTCAAATATATTGATTTCAGTTACAACACAGAATACAAAGTGTACAGTGCTCACTTTATTTTTTATTACAAATATTTGCATTGTAAAAAAGAAACCGTATTTCAATTCACTTCATACAAGTACTGTAGGGCAATCTCTTTATCATGAAAGTTGAACTTACAAATGTAGAATTATGTACAACAAATAACTTCATTCAAAAATAAAACAATGTAAAACTTTAGCGCCTACAAGTCCACTCAGTCCTACTTCATAGAATCATAGAATATCAGGGTTGGAAGGGACCTCAGGAGGTCATCTAGTCCAACCCCCTGCTCAAAGCAGGACCAATTCCCAATTAAATCATCCCAGCCAGGGCTTGGTCAAGCCTGACCTTAAAAACCTCTAAGGAAGGAGATTCCACCACCTCCCTAGGTAACCCATTCCAGTGCTTCACCACCCTCCTAGA